AAACGGATTAAATCGGTCGGAATGTGTAGAGGCAGTTTTTTTTTTTTCAAAAGCAAAAAAAAAAAAGAAAAGTTAAGCTTTAAATGAAAAAATGAATTATGGAGCATGTTATCCTTGTACTGTTTTATCAATGGGTGAAATCGGCCTTTCCTCGCATCCGGTCGTAAATGAAAATAATGTTCTTAGTTGTCAAGTTTCGTAGCATATTCAACTATTAGTTATTATCGTTTTGAAGAGACTTGCATCATCATATTCTACTCAACTTGTAACTTGAAACAAGTAAACTTTGCGCATCATACAGGCGCTTCGAGGTATATAAACATGTGTGTACATATTGTTATTGTTTTACAAATAATTCGCTCTGTTTAATAATGTATTTCAACGATGTAATAACAGAAACACATTTATTAGCAAGAGGGTGAAAAGATGAAAGAAAAAAATAAAAAAAAATATAAAAAAAAATTTCTATTTGTTTCAAAACGAATATTAGGCACTTCACAATTTTGTATATATATAAAAAAAATAATGAAAATTTCAACGTAAAATTGGCTTTCACGCCAGTGGATATCTGTTGTAGAACATTGCATGCCGTTGAAATGAAAAGTTATGTAGCGTTAACCATTTCATGCATTTATAACGAGTCATATGCGTTCACGATTTTGAGCACGATTTTCTGAATCTTCCCCAATGCCTACAATGTAATCGACGCGTCTGACTGTTGAAAAATCTACTTGAAATCTTAACCTGATCATATATATTCGTACTGTACTGTATGTGTGGAGTGGAGTGGAGTGAAGAGAATTGTTCGTCTGTTTTCGATATCTTGAAAAATGAGTAACGATATCACAGCAGTACTGCTATCGTTCGGTGATAATTGCATAAAAAATATTAAAATTTAAAAACACAACATTTTCGATACGAAAAAGTCTGCAGAAATAAAACGTAACGTACTTTAAAAAAAAAAATAAAAAATAAAAAATAAAACTAAAAAAAGACGCATATTTTCTTTGTTGTTGCTATTATTGCTTTTGTAATTGTTGTTATTGCTATTATTATTGTTATTGTTGCCATTTTTGTTGTTGTTGTTATTGCTGTTGTCGTTATTGTTGTTATTATTATTGTTGTTGCGGTATTATGTTGGCCAACTTTCATAAAATTCTCATTATAATTTTAAAGTGTGTATAAAGTGTCATCACATGCATACATAAATTTGTTTTAAGCCATGTTAACTGGCACAACGTGTGCAAAACAAAGACTTCCACTGCATATATATGTAGGGAAACACTCTTGCTCGTGAACATATTTATTATAAAAGATGTAATTTTGCTAGAGTAGTAGATTTTTTTTTTTTTTTATTTAAATTTTTTTTTTCATTTTTCATTTTTTTTTTTTATTTTTATTTTTTTATTTTGCCTTTACCAACAATGACATGAATGTGTTGGTTAGCTGCCATCATATGCACATAAATTTAACACCAAATGACAAGTTGTCTAACATGATGTTTTTACACGACTGACAGTAAATGGTAAACAGGAAATTCCTGGTTTGTGTTATCATTATTAAAAAAGAAAAAAAAAAAAAAAATTATATGATTAAAAAATAAAAAAGAAATGAAAAATAAAAACATAGGCATATATATATTCCTTATAAATAAAAATAATTCGTACTTTTTTTTTACAAGAGTTTCCCTATTTAACTGAATGACGCGACCGACATTGTCTATACGACCTAAATATTTCCAATATTCACTTCCGAAGTGTCACGATCTCGAAAAATTATTATATATCTTACAATTGATGAAGAGAGCAAAATATCGGATCATCATTGGAAAATCATTGTTGCATCGATATTCTTGATCCCATTCATTAAACGTATTAAAGAGGCAATGTCCGTCTCTCTTGGCTGAGAAAATTCAAAGGTTTTTCTTTTCTTTTTTTTTTTTATCATCAAAATATTCGTAGGACGACGTATCGATGTTACTTTCCTCTATTCTAACGCAAAATAAAAATAAATAAATAAAATAGATCGATTACTCCCCACATCGAGTAGGAGGATATTTCCGGATATTTATGTCTGGAACGAATTGTTTAATTTATTAACGTATCACCCTACGATTACTATAAACTGTGAACAATAATCTTCTTAAGCGTTTTCATAAAATTCTTGTCTTAAATCCAAGTTTTCCCGCATAATGTATCAACTTGAGTTTAGCAAGCTATTGCATTTGGTACAAAAGCACCAATATTCTCGATATAGGTGCGAGTAGTAAAAGCCACCCTCCCGTTAATTTCCTGATAAAATGTTAATTAATAGGTTTTGATAACACTTTGTTTTTCATTTATGTATAATTTCCATGAAATGATTTAACTAATGAAGCACTTTCGCTTAATTGAATGTATTCAGTACATTAATTTCGCCATTTTCATACTCACTACCAAAGTATGGGCGTATACTCGTTTCGTCGGCGTTTTAGAGCCATACGCGCAGCATTCTATTTAAAAATTTCTTTACGAGTCATGAAGTTAACCAAAGATTATGCACAAGTGCAATATCCGTGCAATGTCCAGGGTACGTAATATGCAATATTAATCGTCTAAATGGAACCACCACCTTCAAATTTGGCAAAAATAGTGGAGGTTTCTTGACCGAAAGTTAGCGGGGAGAAATCGAGGGAAATCGATCAAAGTACGCGCGTCGGTGTGGTGCAACATAAACTGAGAACATCTCTGCTTTCTGGGTTTTTCGTTCGTTACATACCAGCTATAATAGGCATGCGGTAAAAACTTTCACGTCTTTTCAACGAAAAGGGAAATAATCAGCCAGAACCATCGCATATTATAGATGACGGGCTTTGTTTTGTAAACGGATACGTCACGGATAAACTATGTAGACAAAAGTTTTTATCACACAAGAATGCGTTGATATGCTGAAAATTCATGTTTTGAGTGTAAGCAAAAGTGTGTAAATTACAAATAAAGGAAAATATTTTGAAGGACAATAAAGGAATTTTTAGTGAAAAATTACTATTTTCTTCATTACTATGCTGAGTATATAAAGAGTGAACATTGAACAATTTTTGGAGATTATGACAATATTTAATTCAGAATTATTATACCTATATAGTAACAAGTCTTAATTTCCATGGCAAACCTATTTAAATTAATAATAGCCCGAGTATTAACTGATAAGATATTTCATAGATATTTTCGAGCATTCATATCATGCAAAACATTCCTGATTCCGATGTTAAATTTCTGAATAAGTGACCAAAGTGAACAAAGTCGAGCCCAAAACTTTCAAGCATACATATATCACTGTCCTTATGTCCTTAGGCAATGATTACCTTTTTTCGCTGCCTTTGTTATAATAAAGGATGAAGAGATGCTGATATTTTGACCTCCTGTTTCATTATACGTTTTCAAAGTTAATTCTCTTACCAATTACATAATATTGTGAGATTTCTTACGAACATATGTATATATACATATATATATGTATTTTCAGTTTGGAGCCTTCGAGAGATTTCAGAGAAATTCATCGAAATTAATCTTTAGTGAAGTAAAAGGTGTGAAAAGTAAATTTTTCCTCATTCACTCTTTTACGACAATGAATAAAGGTAAAGGAGCGTCAAAGATTTTAATGGTGGCCGGTGCGTATTCATAAATACAATTTAATGGCAACAAATGCTATTAATTTTGACATTGATGAGATAAGAACTGGAGGCAATAATTTTTAAGTATAAGAATTTACTAAACTCATTTGCAATTGTGTTTTAAGTGTGCTTGCTATTTAAAGTTATGCGATAGCCAAACATTTAATACAATTATTATGATTTATATAGACAGCGTTGTCGTGCAGCTCGTACAACTAATTTTTTTAAAGGATATAAATTTTCCTTTCTTTGGCTTTCTTTTTTTCCAAATACACATGAATTAGTTATGTTTTACTTTTTTTTCAGCTTTTAAATCCTGAATGAACGCATCAACACTATTCGCTATCATAATCGCAACGAAGCATCCTATCATTATGAATATATATTGAACGGAAAAATAAAGTACGAAGATTCTACTAAAAAATAAATAAATATATATATATATATATATATATATGGAATAATCGTAAGGATTTTGGAAAACGTTGGAGCATGCAGAGCAATCGTGAATTTGACCGAAACAGGCAAATAAGCGACTTTTGTTTAATTTTTTCAAATTTTTATCTAACAAAGTGAAATAGCAAAGGAAAATGCAAACAACATGATATGCAATCGGGAAACTTCATCCACCACAATAGCTACTGAAATTATAATGCCAATAGAAAAAGCAGTAACCCAAGTAGAAGCTACTGCAACGATAGCAACGGTAACAAAAGTTACGCCTACAAACGGAAGATCATCATCATCCTCGTCATTGCTGCCAGTAAGTTTGCAATCAACATTGAATGACTCCGCAAACTTGGGAAACTCGTCAGTACATAAAGTCATCGTAGCGACAGGGGGTATTCTGTCAAATTCGACACGGACGTGCTTATTAACAAATCCAAGTCCCAAAATATTAAAGAAGAATACCAACAACGGCGGCAGCAACAACGATGCTAGTGGCTGCATTAGCAGCGAATGTAGTTATGGTAAGACTCGGATCAAAAACATCATTGTCACAGACATCAGGCATCATCATCATCAAACCAGCCACATGTTTTCAAATCATCCAAATTGCACCAATGTTTTACAAAAACAACAAGAACAAAAGCAACAACATCAAAGACATCAACAATGTAGTCATTTACAAAAACATAAAGCAAAACAATTTATACAGCTACTCACATGCTTGGTGACTGTCATCAGAGTCATTTCACTACCCGAATTTAGTGCAGCACAGCCGCAGCAACAGCAACAACAGCATGCGCAACAGCAGCAGCAGCAACAGCAGCAGCAGCATAGCCGGCAGCTGGTGTCAATGAACCCAGAAACAGCAGCATTTCTATCAAACAACATTACAAATTTCCTGGCAACTACAACTAAAACAGCAACAAGAAGAACAATAACAATACCATTTAATGCTAATGCAAAAGCAATAGCAACAACAAACCAAGTTACTACATTCTTCTCAAACTCGACATACACCACCAACGCCAACGCCACCACCACCACCACCAGCACCACCACCAACGCCAGTAAGAGCACCGAAAACAATCGCAATAACTCAACGTCTAGGCATAACATTAATTCCTACACATATGTTGATGATGAACGTAATGCGGATGATGATAATGATAAGACCAAACTAGCGCAAGTGTTATCAACAACAAGAACAAAAACAACAACAACAACAACGACAACATCATCATCTCTATCGTACGCATTAGTGGAGAATACCTCGGCTTCTTCTATTGTGAAATCAACCGACTTTGTAATGTCAAATGAAACTTTTCATTTCACTCCATCCCTTATTAGGTATCAAGCTGATGGAAATATTTTTTTGCGTTTTCCGCGTTCCCTGACCAGCGGGAAAAGTAGTGCGGCCACAGGTTCTGATGACACTGGTCTAAAAATGTTCGGTGTCAGCGGTAGTTCAAGCATTACAAATATGTTTAATCCCCAAACTGCTACTGGTTTTAATGGCAATAGCATCATCGAATGTCCCAGTTTTGACGAAAGTTCAGCGTGTCCATGCTATAAATTTGAAGACGGTTAGTACAAAATTTAATAGTAAACTAAAAAACAAACCAAACAACACTAATGATATTTTATTATCCAACGACCGTCACATAAATTTCACCCTTGACCCGTGTGCGATATGAAAACTATACTAACTTAACTCGATTCCTTTTCATATTCTAAATAACATATAATCATGAGATAGGGATTTGAACATGTCCACATGTGAAGACAATTTAAATTTAGTTGTCTATAGATGCGATACCATGTGGAAACATTATCTAGATGATATATAAATATTACGTAAGTCTTTTGTATACTCTGAGAATGCAAATGGACACATTCTCTTCAATCTGAAGGTTAAATGTTTCCGTTGTAGCGACAAGGTTAAACGGTTATGTGCGGACTTGGACTTATTAGAGACGTAGATGTTTATATTTTACTTAAACTTTCTTAGAAGCTTTCGAAGGAGAGTTAAAAAGAAGAAGGATTGCTTAAAAATTATAAAAAAAGAAAAAGTCACGACAAAGCAAGCAGAAGCAAACTTTATCGCGTGAACCATTCTGCAATGGTTCGAGTTCGCTTACTTGATGCAAGCATAACATTGAAGACCAATAACGCTCATCATAATTTTTTTACAATTCCGTAGAAATAATTTCAATGAAATTTTCAATGAAATAGTATTCCTGGCGGGAATTGCATCTCGAACGATTGACAATACCAACTCTAGGAAGAGGCGTGACATGTGCCAAATATATCACGAACTTTGTTGCGTAGTAAACGCGTTGTCTAACGAAACTTAATGTTTAGCATAATAATTGTGACACTAAAATTTTTGCTTAGCTACTTTAGCGCCTTCGCACAATATGGAATTGAATCGTTCCATGTCGCGCTCAGAGGCGTTCTTTAGTTTATTTATTTAAATGATTAAACCACCTGACATACTATTAGATCGATGCGCGCGATTTTCGGTTACGATGAAAAAATTCATATCATGTTAGATCGTCCGATGATTTTCGATTAATGTCTTGTTTCGTTGAGAACATAGCTACCATAGCTCACCGTTGCAACCAAGCATTTGTGGATTTATTAAGCAATCCTTCTAAACAGTTAACGCGGTACGCCTCGGCAAACTCCCCGACGCATTGTGCGTAGGAAATTTACTTACACCGAACGCAATCAGTCACATTTTTAACTTTAACTCTCTTCTCCAGAAATGTCATTAACGAATACACTAAGATTATATAATTGGAAAACATTATTCACTTACTCGACAATCAAACTTCCATGTTTTATTCACTTATCCGAAGAAATCAAGATTAGAAGTGATATAGATTGTTAGTGGATTGTTGATGGAATTCATAGTAACTATGAAACAAATCTCCTAACAACGGACTCAAATGCCATTGACGTGTAAAAAAGGCAACCGTTAATAACCGTTAATAGTTTGTCCCATTTATGCGGAGTTTTCGTTGTTTTTTTCATCGTTTTTTTAATCGTATAATTTAAGTATAAGAATTGCAATTCTGGTGAATTTAAAAAGAATAGCGCTTGCAAAGATTGTAGTAAGCACTCATGACATAATATCCTTAAAATCTCATTATTCAAATGCATGGATAGTTTAAGTTAAGTCTTTACATTCTTTCCTCTTATTTCTACTTTAAATATATCATTTACAGGATTATTTTTGGAATGCCCTGGCACTACAGCAATATCATTACGTTCCACACTGGAGCGTATATCATCGCCAATACATTCGCTATCAATATACGACTTTGATCGTTCGGTCACGTCGCTTTCACAGGATGTCTTTCAGCCGGGTGTTAATATAAGACATTTACAATTTTCGCATTCACATTTGGAAACTCTAAAGGATAATAGTCTCAAGAATGTACGTGCGTCTCTTGAATCGCTGAGTATAGTTAATGGTAAATTAACACAGGTACGTACATAATATATATATATATATATATATATATATATATATGAACTATAGTATATACAAATGGATAGTTATATGATAAAAAGGGGGATATGCATATACATGCATACGTGCGTACAGGTGCATATATGTGTATACATGTATATATGCGTATGTAGACATAAGGCAATCGCATATATGTAAAGCAATAGTCCGTCTATAGTAGAAACAAGAAGTGAGAAAAAAAAGCCTTGATTGCATATTGAAATCTATAAACGTGCTGTGTAAACATGCGGTTGTGTAAAAGAAAATAAATCTACGTAAACCGCGAACGTATGCGTATGCGTTAATGAATGAATGTTATCATGCGGGCAGCGGCCGTTTGCATTTCTTATTAAATATAAATTCGTATAACATGAGTTCTACGGGCGTAACATAACATGTCCACTTTTTAAAAACATTTTTCGCTTGTTTTCATATAAACATGCATTCAGCAGACAAGAGCATTTGCATTAATCTTGGATTTTGTATACCTTAAAACTATATATAAATAACTATATGTTCAGCATTTATACGGCTTTAATATAAATTCAATTTTAGAACGTAACGATACAACGTAAAAGTTAACGTAATAAATAAAATTGTGATAACGATTGCATAACTGAGAGTCGAGTCGGAAAATGTATGAAATTTAAAAATTTTTAAATGTATCCACACATATACATAGTATACTATGTATAAATGCCGTTCAAACATTAAGTTACTAGTCTGGCTGATCCATTTGTGATATTTGCTTGATGTGGATGGTTTTGTTATGATGGCTTTGAAGTCGCCTAAGTTCGCTTTCAAGAATGCTCGCTACCGAGTATATCTCGAGTTAACGCTTCAATATACGCCTTAGATGCCCGAGTAGGGAGGCAAGATTTTAACTATAAATCTTAAATGCGGCGGAGTTTTCATTACCTAGCTTAGCGGATAGCTAAGAGACTTTGGTCTTTGTATTTATTTCTCTGACTACATTAATAATAATGATAATAAAAACCTGTGACTTTCATTCATTTCTAATTACGGTTGCTTCTATAGGATCATAGGCTATATAGGATCGTGTTAAGTATACCTTACCTAACATAGGTGAAAAAATTGCATTTTACAACTGCGAACTGCGAATATTAAATCAAGCGCTTCCAAGCTCATCCACATGTTTAGATAACTAATTCATTTTACTTAATTAACAATTATTTTGTGCATTACACCGACAAGCTCGAATGAACTAATTACACGCCCTAAACGAGAGAAAGGAGAAAACTTACAATTTTTAAAAATCCACATTATAGCCGAACGTGCGCAAATCATATCCCTCTAGATTGCATGGATGCAAACGTAATTTTTTAACACTTGCAGTATGCTTCCACATAGCTGACGAGACGAAACATATATATATATATAACATATAGGGCATCGTGTGAATCGCATGCAATCAATAAGAGTCCCCTAAGTGATGGATGTCCAAGATTTTCGCAACATAAGTACTGCAGTTCGTATCTGCATATAGCTATCATGTTATCTTTTAGTTTTCTGTCCGACAATTTACGTATATGTCATTCAAAAAAAGAATCTGCATATATTCAAGCAAATATACATATATTTTATTAGTAAGCATATACACCCTCATGAAAATCCTGCACGTAAATTTGCTTTTTGTTGTATACACTATGAATTAGAATATTTAAGTGTTGATAACGAAATGAATTACAATTTGTGCAAGTTTTTTACATGTTTGTTCACATTATGCATGTGTTTGTTTGTTTGTTTGTTTGTTTTTTTTATTTTTTTATTTTTTCTTCTTCTTTTGTAACAACTTGTGTATAATCATGTCTAAGCTAAGGATGCTGATGCCCCTCTCCTTTCATACTCACTGGTAGTGCAATTCCTATATTAAATTAAAATTTAAATACATTGCGTACCGAGTTTGCCTTTGCTCAAAAGCAGACTTTTTTAAAAGTTAGTTTTGCATTTTATTATATTCAACATCATTAGAGCGATTTTCATCCCCTTTATAACATTTTGCAATAACTTTATTAATATATATATATATATATACATGCATTGTGGACAGTTCCGTTAACCGATCAAATTTACATATAAATATGCATTATAATGAAATCATTAAAAATTCGCATTAACAAGCATTTCGAAAAAGCTGCCCTTTTACAGGCTATGGCTATATATTTAATAATATATTAACAGAATTGTTTTTTATTAATCTTGATAACAATATCAGATGCATAAAAATTAATTCATTATATATATCATCAACAATACGGATCAACTTGTAAATAAAAGAGTTCGTGGCGGCCCGGTTCTATCTGCCCGATTTTGTGAATACATGTTCTCACTTTTCATGCCGGGATTAGTTCGCCTATTGCAGAGATGCATTTTACTTTACTCACGTGCGTTTAACGACTTATCCGATGTGTAAAATATCGTATCGTAAATTTTCGAGCAACAATGAAATTTCATCTTATTTATTAATTCACTTGTGGACGATGTGGTCCTTTCAGTATAGGTACTGATTTTGCAGATTTGTCCACATTAATTAACTTATCTCTTTTACGTTTTTATATCAAAGGTGTCTGCCGCTCTTTGCACAAGCGTTATGAAGTAACAAATTTAGGAAAATATCTTCCCAGTCTGTCTGGTTCATTCTATTCCCGACTTATTGTTAGCATCCGCGGTTCCTTATATTCAATCTAATTCTCGGATGTTAAACGATTTTAAATTTCGTATATTTTCAGCATGTGTTACTCGTTTCACATTTCGAAACGAAGAAGAAAACAACGAAAACCATATTTCTCCACTTTCTCTCATTCTAATCTGTGTTGCCAATCAGCTGTAATCATAGTTGAAGTCAGCTGACGGGACTTCGTATGTGATATACTGGTCTTTTATTCTTACTTTTCAAGTAAACCTAACCATATGTTAATAATCGTGTAAAACCTTATACCTAAAATTGGAATCAAGACAAACTAATGACTTTGGTTCACACAAGATGCTACTGTGAGAAGCCTGTAGAAGTAAAGCGCGGTCCATTGAATTCGGTTGCATATATTTTGATCATTCATTTCGCTTTAAAAAGGCATTTATTCATAGATTTATTCATTAATCAAACTATTTCCACATCATTCATTTTGCACAACTTGCTGCCATCTTACTGGCAAAATGGCGTAACCTTGTCGAAAGAAAGATATTGGTTTGGCAGCGATCGAACCATTTTCGCCCTTCTTCAGCATTTCGAAAGCGCTTACCGCCCAAGCTATGCCGCCTCGTTCTAAATAAGTGGTAATCAGAAAGCACTAAGTCTGATACTGCGTGCGGCAGAATTTTCCATTCGAGCTGCAATACTGTGCTCTTGAGAACTCCTGCAGCGCTATCATGTAAAGGGAAGACTTTGTGGCTATTACTAGTTATTTCTGCAATAATGCATCAATTCGCAATTTGTTCAATTTACGTCAGCAGACATCTGCAGTAACAGTTTCATTCGGTTTTAACAGGTCGTAACACACAGCAGCTCGTACATCTAGCTGATGCCACAATATGCATAGCAAAACTTCATGGCCATAAATATTCCGCTTCTGTACCGATGTGGATGGCTCTTCTGAACTAAAGCGTGACTTTTTCCGCTCGGGCTTGCCGTAATAAATTCACTTTTCAGCGCCACTGAAAATATGCCACGGAAAACTCTTCTTTTTTCCGCGTGGCAACCAATGAAACCAGTTCGAAACGGCATTTTCCATCAATTCGTATGGTAAGGCGTCGCCCCCTCTTTTTGATATTCTCCATCGCATTTAAATGTCCAGAAACAGTTCATTCATCTACTGCTAAGTTGTTCGAAAGTTCTTTGAAAGTTTGAGCTCGAGTTTCGGCTAATAAGTCTTGCTATTCATTGTCTTTGAATTTTTGTTTATCCTCCAGTCCATTCTTTCTCATCGACATCAAATTCATCACTTTTAAACAAAAGCGAAATTTATTGAGCCAAAAAGTTTAAGTTAACCGCGAACCAAAAATTGCAAGAAGGGGAACTTTTTTCCTTAAGATTTGTTCATTCGTTGTTGTCTCGAATCTACCCAATAATACTAGAACTGATGTAATGTGTGTAAGTCCCAAGATCGTGCACAGCCATTGGGTCTAGTATTTGAATAGAGAAGGAAAATATGCGATATGCCACAAAAGGCGTAGTTCTCACTGTTACTTGAGAAGTCATATGAAACGAGTGCATGCGAGTTAAAATTACCAGCTAAAGAGAGTGATGATGATGGTAATAAGAATTTATTAACATACCATCTTTAGAATAAATGAAGATAAATGTTAACCATAATTTTTGTTTCCGATAATGCAATCAATTTGCAAATGATCTTCAGGAACAATCGCCTGGAATCTATATTAGCATGTAATAAATGTCCATATCTCCCAAACTTATACATTTATGCAAAACAGTTCATTGTTTTCAATAAAGTGAGAAATCATAATATGTGAGCGCGTGAAGCAGAAGCTTGCTTTTCCAGATCGTTGTTTGTAATATTAGTAATCATTATTGACAAAATTTTTGCGAAAACACTTTCACTATATATATATATATATATATATATATATGTTTTTTTTTTTTGTAATTTCTATTTCATTAATTAATGTATTTTCTAATTGAAATAAATATGTGCATATATTGAGTGTATAAGTAGGATACATATAAAAATAAAAAATAAAAAATAAAAAATATCCGTCCATTAATAGTTCATGCGTTTGTTTATTTTTTTTTTAAGCGCCAGCTGTTATTTTTCGGATTTTGGCAGCCACAATTAAACATGAACACACATTTCCCCATACATTGTTTTTCACTTACATACGAATAATAGCAAGAAAATTGACACGAAAGTCTTACGCAATGGGGGCTGAAACGTTTATCAATTATCGGGTTTTGTCGCGTATGAAAGCCAATTTTCAGATATGTGATTACCCCCTTGAAG